CAGAAGGACTGCGAGTTCAAAGCCAGCCTCAGCAACTTTGTGAGGCTCTAAGAAACTTAGTGAGACCTTGTCTCAAAATAAAAAATAAAAAGAGGTGGAGATGTGGCTTGGTGGTTAAGCACCCCTTGGTTCAATCCCCAGTACCCAAAACAAAAAATAAATAATAAATTAATTAAATTAAAATTGATATCTGATTCAGTAATTAGAATACTTTTAGTTAGCCAGGGTGGCACACACCTTTAATTTCAGAGACTCAGGAGTCTGAGGCAGGAGGAACATAGGTTCAAGGCCAGTGAGGTTCTAAGCTACTTAGCAAGACCCTGTCTCAAAATAAAATATAAAAAGGCCTGAGTATTTAGCTCAGTGATATAGTACTAAAAAAGAAAACTTTTAGGTATGTTTGCAACAATATGAAATTTTTTTTGCAGTACTGCAGACTGAACCCTAGTGGGTGCTCTACCACTGAGTTATATCCCCAGTCCATCCTTTAAAATATTTTTCACTTCTGAGGCAGTCTCTCTAAATTTTCAAGGCTGGCCTTGAACTTGTGATCCTCCTGCCTCAGCCTCCAAAGCAGTCAGGAGTACAGGCGTATGTACTCATATAAAATCAGGGAGGATTTTTGTGCTAAGGACTGAACCAAGGGCCCCACAAACACTAAGGACATACTCTACTACTGAGCTACACTCTCTAACCCCTATGAATCTGTGCTTTCAATTGTAAATTTTATTTTATTTTTGGGAGTGGGGATTGAACCCAGGGGTGCTTTACTACTGACTTAAATCCTCAATACTTTTTATTTTTAAGATAGAATCTTGCTACATCACCCAGGATTGTCTCCAACTTGTGATCCTCTTGCCTTAGCAACCTGAGTTGCTGGGATGTAACTGAATGCACTACCCCACCAGCTCAACTGTAAATCTTATGAAATATAAATACAAATCAAGTCATTCCTAATAAAAAAAATAAGTTTGAATTGAGATGTGCTATAAATGTAAAATAGAAAATTGTAAAAATTTTTAAAAAGTAATATAAAATATCTTATTAGTAAATATGTATATTATTTAAAAATTAAAATATTTTAGACATTGGGTTAAGTAAGGTAGATTATTAAAATTAAGCTCACCTATTTCTTTTACCTTTTTAATGTGGCTAATAGAAAATTCAAAATTGTATATGTAGTTTGTTATTATCACAGCTGGTACAAGGTAAATAAGAAGAAATACATTTCCATTTTAAAGTAAATATAATTAAAGACAAGAAGAAAACTCTTGACATTCAAAGGAGCAAACAGTATGATTATTATACAAATAAAATAGAGATGACACATATATAAAGATAACAGTGTAAATATTTGGAGTAGATATAGAGGTATGGCCATACTTCTGAATAGTATGCCATCTAGAAGACATAAAAACTTACCTTATTTATTTCATTTACAATAAATCCTTCTGAGGCTGTAACCTCTGGGATACCATCTAGGCCAATTCCTTGAGAAGTTAGGCTGCCATACAAAGATGGTTTCCCTATGTGGGGAAAAAAAATTAAAAGTTTGTCTCAAAAAATTATAAGAACTTATTATTTCTCTCCTTACAGACCCAATTCAAGCATCTGTATAGATAGAACCTATAATGAAATTGGCTCATGAAAGAAAAACAGATACCTGTGTTGAAATTCAGGTGAGGTAGAAAGAGTAAACCTAATTTGGGAGTGAATACACTAAAAGATTTAAAAGTTAGGAATGGAGATTTAGAGATATAACATTTATAGAAAAAAGCTGCTGAAGTGATCTCAACCTGCTTTTATGGCTATGAAATGGAATTTTTCCAGGATGAAAGGTGAAGATCATCATATATATGTGTATTTACCAACAGTATATACATTATATAACACATCGTAAATAATTAAGCTTCAGTATTCTAGAAAATATGCCTAAATAGAATTTTTGCAGTCATATGAACTGAATGAAATACTGTCCTAAATATAAACATATGCAGATACTAGAATGAAGCTAAAYACTTTGTCCATTCTTCTGGACTTTGTATATTCAAATCAAAGCCCATATAACAATTACATGTCTAACTTCCTGGCTAGAGTTAGACATGTAATTCAATCGCTTTCTTTTTCTTCAAAGATATTGGTTATTCAGTTAATCCTTCTTTCCTTTACCTTCAAACTACATTTTATTTATTATTATTTAGGTACTGGGGATTGAACCAGAACCACTTTACCCCTGAGCTACATCCCCAGTCTTTATATTTTATTTATAGACAGGGTCTAACTAAGTTGTTTAGAGCCTTGCCAAGTTACTGAGGCTAGCCTCAAACTTGCCATCCTCCTAACTCAATCTGGGATTACAGGCATGTGCCACCATATCTAGCTTCAAACAGTATTTTAAAAATTGCTCTTTCTTCAATTATTTTCCATCTTTAAAAAACAAAAACAAAAGCTCTGGACTATGAGATTTTTAGCTTCATCCATACAGCACCAATTTCCTCAAGAAAGATTCTATGTTTAAAATATTTTCTCAGCTTGATGCAATGGCACATGCCTGTAATCCCAATTATTTAGGAAGCTAAGGAAGGGGATCAAAAGTTCAAGGTCAGCCTCATCAATTTATCGAGGCCTTGAGGGTTGGGAATATGGTTTAATGGTAGAGTGCTCCTAAGTTCAATACACAGTACCACCAAAAAAATTAGATAAAAAAACTGTAGAATATATCACATAAAAGGTAATGGGCTAATTAAAATGCACCAGCACAGGTGCAGTGGTACCTGTAATCTCAGATACTTGGGAGACTGAGGCAGAAGGATCAAAAGTTGGAGATCAATGTGGGCAACTTAGTGAGACCCTGTATAAAAAAGAAAAAGTGCTATACACACAGCTCAGTGATAGAGCACCACTGAGTTTAACCACCAGTATGGCAAAAAAAAAAAAAGGTTGGAGAAGTAGCGTGGTGGTAGACCACCTGCCTAGTGTATGAGAGGCCCTGATTTCAATCCCCAGTATCTCATTCATATATGCTCTCTCTTTCTCTCTCTCACACACACAAAAGCATTAATAATATCTCCATAAACATCCGTGGCTTACAAATGGAAAACACAATCTGAAGCCCTTCTAGAATAGAGGAGTGGGAATTATTTCAGTAAAATACAAACTACTCAAGCATGTTTGTAAACTATAAGCATTGTGCCAGAAGGTTGGGCCAGCAGAAAATAGGCAGCTTTGTACTAGGGGTACTAAATCTTTCTTTCAAAGGAGAACAAATAGATTTATAGACATTACCTGGAGGGTGACAGCTCAGCCAGGCCTCCCCTTCTTCTTTCCTATGAAGAGAGACAAAAGCCTAATTAGGCTCAAAGTTGAAAAGAATGACACTTGGGAGAAAGGTCATATAACCTTCAGTTTGTTCATTGTACCTAAACATGATCTAGTCTAATCTCCCATCCAGGCATACATTATTTTAAGACAGTCAAATTTTATTGTTAAAGAAATATTTGTGGATTAAGTATTTAATGAATAGATATCACTAGTTAAATCGATTCTCAAATACTTTGATCAACAAGGAGCATGCTTTGAAAAAAATCAAGATTATTTATATCTAGGCATTTATTGAGATAACTATAAAACAAGAGTTAGACATTTTGCATATAGCATAATTATTCCTTACAAAAACCAAACAAGATACCTTTTATTATCCCCATATTAAATGCAAAAACTTGAGGGTCTGGGATAAGTGACTTGCCCCAAACCCCTAGCTATGAAGTAAGAATTGAAATCTGGAACTGGTACACAATATGTGTTCTTTCTAAAACCTCATGCTGACTTTTTACATGTTTTAGAATGCATGACTCCAAATCCTCTAAATCCTGATCTCTTAGTTAAGATGGAAAGGACCTAGACTTTTAAGTCAGAAAGCTCCAGGTTGACAGCAGCCTTCTATCACATGAGCAGCTGCCTTTGATTCTGATCCTGCATTGTTTCATAGGTACCTTGTGGCACTTAATGGTACTGTTATTCATTTGTAACTTATCATATTTTGCACACTAATAAGTAATGTGTATTTTGGTTAGTCCCACCTACCAAAGTATAAATTTCTTAAGTGCAGGAGGCTGTGTTTCATCCATCTTCACCATTGTTTCAATGGTGATAACAGTTACTAATCAATTTGTAATACCAACTGTCATTTATGGCATTGCTGTATTCATCCTGATACCTAGAGAAATAATTGGCACAGTATATGATCAACAAATATACATTAAATGAGTGAATGAATGATTTACTGCGTAGTTCCAATTAAATGTCACCTTCTTGAAGGGCAGGAACTATCACTTAAATTTAGAATACACATCTGAGCTCCACTGAGCTTTAGGACAGGGCCTGGACTTGGCATGGTTTTCTGAACAGAACTGTGCAATACATCTAATAGGGCACTGGGGGCGCAAGAAAATAGAGTCCATAAAACACAAAAGTGGTAGTGAGTACTAGAACTTTTACAAATAACTGATGACCAAGAAATATTTTCAAAAAGACTACTTGGCCAAACGTCTTCCTGTCTCCCAGTATGTCCACTCATTGATACTATTTCTTAGCAGGGATCACACAGTGCGTACGTATTCCCTTGGCCTCAGGACAACTGCAAAGAATGAAAAGCAATAACCATGCGGGTTTGGGACTTTTTTTCTGGACCTTGTGGCCTCCAGCTTCCTCAACAATTGAAGGTTAACCTCTGTGTATATCCAGGATCAGGCATGGCTCTCCTTGACGTTAAGGCAACATCCGTTACCCGCCTCCTCTGACCCTGATCTGGGCCTGGATTCACCTGAGRGCTTGGGCCCAGTCGCTCTGAATCCTCAAAGGCGCCGCCATCTTGACCCCGCCTCCACTAGCCCGCCTCTTCCGCCCCTTCCCGGAAGTAGAGCCCCCAAACAGGCGGTAGGAACGGAGGGCTGGAAATACACGGAGAAACCACCAATGAAAATGCGTTATCTTGCCCTTCCCTCGGCGTGCTGCCATGAGGGGCTGTTCTTGTGGAGAGACGCAGAGGATCTCTAACTGCCTGAAGAACCTGCGCCGTCGCTCCATTTGGGTACTCTCCTCCCTCCTTTTCCGTGAGCACGACACCCCTAGTCCTTGCGCCGGGAGGCACTGCGGACAGAACGCGGGTGCACTCGGCTGCCGTGCACGCTTGCGTCCTCTCCTTAAAGTGGCAGAGGAGCTTAAGGTGACCTAACCTGGATTGCTCTGCTTTCCGATCCTTTCCGTACCTTCCTAGTTCAAGCCAACTTCCACTGTTCAGTTGCCAACTATCTCTGAATTCTGAGCAGGGGTCGCCCTCATTTTATTCCACAGGAGACTGAAATCAGATGATGGAGGCGGGGGGATTTTAAGATAGCGTTTACAGAGTCCTATTGTAGCCCAAAGCACTTTTCATTCATTATGTTAATACTTAAATTCTGCGAGTTAAGCATTATTAATGAGTAATGAAATTATTGCACGGTAAGGCGTGGTGCTGGGATTTGAATTTGGATCTCTTTGTTTAGAATCCAAGGTACTTTCCTTTCCACTGTTCTTGATTTCATTGATTTGCTCTTGGCCTTTGAAGAGCTCACAATGTCATAGGAAGCGGAAACATATACAGTAATAGGAACTCTCAAATATTTAAACTTTTGTTCGCGTCAGTCTCCTTACAAACATTATCATCTGTTTTTCAAAAGAGGCTTCTAAGTGACTTGCACAAGAGCATCCAATGAAACAGTGACAACGCAATGTTTCCAATCCATGTCTATTTCAAAGCCATTTCCTTTCTTCTCTTAAATTATACTGCCTTCAAAGCAAGTGAGTTTTGTGTAGAGATTAAATTCTTCTTGTGATTTCCCCATTGTTCTTAGGATAAAAGTCCTAACTCCTTAATATGGCCTGCAAAGCCTTTCTATGATAAGATGCTTAGTCATTTTACCAGTTTTCATTTCTGGGCAAACATACCTGGTCTTGTTCTCATCTCCAGCCAGGTTTTTTCTTTGTGTGTTTTGTGGTGCTAGGGATCAAATCCTGGGGCCTCGCACATGTGAGCTGCACCCTCAGGCCCATCACTGAACTTTTGGTTCCTCTTATATGTTAAATTCTGTCTCTATCTTCCACTGGCCAGAAATATTCTTCCCATCTCTGGYCAACTCCCACTTATCCTTTAAGTCTCATTTTTTAAATCACTTCCTCCAGGAAGTCTTCTGTGCCTATTCTTGCCCTATATCTGGATTAAGTACCCCTCCACTGTGTTCCCAATCCTAGCTATCTATACACATGTTGAAACTGTCTGCTTACTTATCTACATTGTAAACAGGAACTATATCTTTTTTGGATACTCTAGCATAGTGACTGATACATGGTAGGTACACAATAATCATCTTCTGGGGCTAAGAATGTAGCCCAGTTAAGAGCATTTGCTTAGCATGTTTGAAGTTCTGGATTCCATCCCCAGCAGCACCAAAAAAAAAAAAAAAAAAACATCTATTGAATGAATGAGACACAAGAGAGGCATTAAGAAATTCTAATGCTCTTTTACAGCTAGCTCATCATGACAAAATTTGTGAAAGGGTAATCATTTCTCTTCAAATGTTTCTTAAGTTCCTTGCTTCTTTCTTTCTTTCTTTCTTTTTTTGGTACTGGAAAGTGCACTCAGAGGTACTTAACCACTGAGCCACATCCCCAGGTCTTTTTATTTTTTATTTGGAGACAGGACTTGTCAAGTTGCTTAGGGCCTAAGTTGCTGAAGCTGGCTTTGAACTTGCAATATCCTGTCTTAGCCTCCTAGCCACTGGGATTACAGGTTTGCACCATTGCGCCCAGCTCTGCTACTTTCTTTTGACTGCTGTGAAGCAGATGATCTTGGGGACATATTCTGGGCAAACATACCTAACATTTGGGCATAGCTGACAAAGCATTTTCACTTACTCTATAGACTGAACTCTTGCCCTGGCATCTGAATGTTTTATTACATTCAAAGTGAACTCTTTCCATTCCTCCCATGTCAAAACCTATCCGTATTTGGGTATCATCCCAAGTGTTCAACTTGTTCTTCCTCAGGCATAGAATAAAGCCAAAGGAGACAACAATGACTAACGGTTAGTTCTTTTCAGGTAGGTCAGAGATGGCTTCTCCAGAATGATGACATTTCACTTAATTCATATTCCATCAGCAGACTCTATTGAGCTTATTGAATGCTGTTTAAAGCACTCTCAAATATATAATGTTGTTCAATACGAACCATTTTCTAGGCCTGTTTTTTCTGCCAGGCCTACTGCTGGGGGCACCAAAGTAAATCAGGCTCAATATCTCTCCTCAAAGAGCTTAGTCTTCAGGCTGGGGTTGTGGCTCAGAGGTAGAGCGCTCATCTACCATGCGTGAGGCACTGGGTTCAATCCTTAGCACCACATAAAATAAATAAAAAACATTGTGTCGACCTATAACTGAAAAATAAATATTTTAAAAAAGCTTAGTCTTCTAGGGGAGATAAATACATAAGCAAGTTCTAATAGTGCAGTTTAGTTGGTGCTATTTATGACACAGGAACCATATTATAATCATATTTATACTCTTACCTTGTCTCTGTTGATGTTCTAGACTTCAAGATGTCAACCTCAGTCCCTCAAGGCCATAACTGGGCCCGACAGGTGAAGAAGGAGGRTGAAGAAGTAGATCCTCTGGACCAGCTCATCTCCCGCTCTGGCTGTGCTGCCTCCCACTTTGCAGTGCAGGAGTGCATGGCCCAGCATCAGGACTGGCGGCAGTGCCAGCCACAGGTGCAGGCCTTCAGGGATTGCATGAGTGAACAGCAGGCAAAGCGGCGGGAGGAGCTACAGAGAAGAAAAGAACAAGTTAGCACCCACCGCTGAGACCCCAAACCACCTGTCCCCAGAGGATGGTCCTGCAGAAACCAGCACATAGATCATGGTGGGAGTATGGGCCAGGAGGTGTCAAACTTGGAGATGGGGGGCTGGGGATGTGGCTCAAGAGGTAGCGCACTCGCCTGGCATGCATGCGGCCCGGGTTCGATCCTCAGCACCACATACCAACAAAGATGTTGTGTCCGCCAATAACTAATAAATAAAAAAAAAAAAAAAAAAAAAGATATATATGGTCAAAAAAAAAAAAAAAAAACTTGGAGATGGTCTTTTGGACTAGGATTGAGAGCCAGACACCATAAATTTGGATATGACTACCATACTGAGCTGCCATGTTTAATGGTCACATCTCACACATTCTCACCCTTCTTGTTCCACCAATATTTCCATGTATAACAAGAAGTGGGGTAAAGGAAGCTCCTTTACCCCACCTCTTGCGTTAGTGTGCCAAATACTAAGATGATTATAGGGATGTTTTAATTTTAGAAGTAAATTCACAGCCTGAAGTTAAATTGGTTACATAATTAGGTCTTCAATTTTTCAGTCATGGGTTCAATTATATCAAGTATTTCTAAGGCACTGTGTTGGAATGTGATGTCTGCCTTTATGTTTCTTAGGGTCTAGTTTGAGAGATGGAAATAAAACAACACTGGACCAACTAATTTAGCTTCCAGCAGTGATGTGAGTGCCTCTGTCTTTTTATCACCTATTCTTGAGTGTTTTATTCTGTTTAATAAAGGAAGAAAGCAAACATGGAAACTTTTATTCAAAAAATATYGAGTACCTATTACATGTTAGACTCTGTTGATTAACAGATGCAGAATTTTTCCCCAACTCAACCAATACAGAAAGCTGGCCTGACATTTTAAAAGTATGTTTAACATTAAAATACAGATTTTCAGTTTTTGAAAAATGGAGATGCTATTATACACAGAGCTTATATCTCTACTTGACAACAAATTGCTGGAGCTGAATAATACTGCCTCTTTTCAGGGGCTTGTGTTCTATTATAGAAGTTGCCATCACTTCTCATTCTTCAGTGAGACCAACCTCTATTCCTGAATAGCCCTTTGAGACATTTGGGAGTGAGAAGAAGGTTAGGGGAGTGGCTCTAGCCATAGAAGCTAGAATGCTTTCATCATTATTAATAACAAATACTTTTTGAGCACCTACATTTTAAAAACCCAAACCTGAAGTATAGTAGGCCCTAAAATTTGAGCCTTTGTTTTGGTATTTTTAGGAAAGAAAGAGGAGAGGACATGAGGAGTTAAAGAAAACAGTAGAGGGCTGGGGATGTGGCTCAGGCGGTAGTGAGCTCGCCTGGCATGCGTGCGGCCCGGGTTCGATCCTCAGCACCACATACAAACAAAGATGTTGTGTCTGCTGAGAACTGAAAAATAAATATTAAAAAAAAAAGAAAGAAACGGTAGAATCTTATTTAAGGCCAAAGGGGATGATCAGGTGAATATATAAACGTGTTTCGTTGGGTATGTGTGTACCCAATGATGTGGATCATCAGAGGGAGGAAGCAGTGTGCTCTAGAGCTGTCACCAAGAATCTCAAAGAAGAGGAGGAAGTTAGTCAAGTTGAGCCTTTAATGATAGCTGGAGCCAGGCAAGGTGGTGCAGTTCTATGACAAGTTTGAGGCTAGCCTCAGCAAATCAGCTAGGTTGTCAGCAACTTGGTAAAACCCTGTTTCAGAATAAAAAAGGGATGGGGGTATAGTCTGGTAAAGCACCCCTGGGTTCAATCCCCAATACCAAAAACAAAACAAAAAAACATATAGCTGGGTGTGGTGGCACACACCTAGTAATCTCAGGAGGCTGAGGCAGAAGAATCAAATGTCTAAGGCCAGCCTGGACAACTTAGTGAGACTTGCCTTTAAATTAAAAAAAAATTGGGGATGTAGCCATGTGGTAAGAGCACTCCAAGTTCAATCCCCAGTAACAAAAGAATAAATAAATAAAAATTGTTACCATTTATTGAGTGATTATAACTAATATTTATTGAACATTTAATTTAGGCAATCCAGTTCCAGAGTCTGTGCTGTCAATCCCTTTACACTATTTACTAGCTGTGTGACTGGACACTTTTTTTTTTTTTTTTAGTATTGGGGATGAAACTCTTCAGGGCATATACCACTAAGCTACATCATCAGCCTCTTTATTTATTTATTATTTTTTTTTAAAGAGAGGGAGAAAGAGAAAGAATTTTAATATTTATTTTTTAGTTTTTTGCGGACATAACATCTTTGTTTGTATGTGGTGCTGAGGATCGAACCCGGGCCACACGCATGCCAGGCGAGCGCGCTACCGCTTGAGCCACATCCCCAGCCAGCCTCTTTATTTTTTATTTTGAGAAAGGGTCTGAGTTGCTGAGGCTGGCCTTGAATTTGCAATCCTCCTGCCACAGTCTCCTGAGTTACTGAGATTATAGGCATACACCACACCTAACTGGAAAAGTTACTTAACATCTCAAAATCTTTTTTCTTGTGTGTGTATGTGTGTGTGGTATGMTTTCCTCACAAGCCTCAAAACATTAGTTTGGACCTTCCTCATAGAATTGTTGAAAGAATTAATATTGGTGGGGATCTTAGAAACAGTGCCTGTGCTAGTGACTGTCCTGAGGTAGGCTGTCTAATTTAATCCTTAAATTACAGAGGAGGAAATAAAGGTAAGACCTAAGAATTGGGTTCCAGGCGTATGTTGCTCTAAAGTCCATACTGTTCTCTGTGCTCTGTGCAGTGTGGTTTGAGTTTCTCCCTATATAATCTACACTTACCTCTGGCAGCTTTGGGTAACTCCTGGGAAGAGGTGCAGTGCCAGCAATGAGTGGAGAGACCTCCTGGCTGGTTGTCTCTTGACTAGACCTAGGGCAGACTGATGGCTAAGCTCTTCCCTGCAAGGTCTTTGGCCAAGGACTTGGCTTCATACTCAGTACATAGGTGCACTACAACATGCTTTACTAGATGAGTAAAAAGATACTTCTGTCTCTCCCTCAGGTGAAGTTGACAGACTAAATCCTTGGGCTGCTGACTTCAGAAATCCAAAAAGAACTGGAGCGAGTCCAGATTGAAACCTTACACTTTCTCCCTGTAGAAAATGCATGGCCTCCTTTCTCTGCAAGACTTAAAGGAGTGGAGGAAGTGGAAAGGATTCTTCCCTTCCTTAAGCTATTTTTTAAAGAATATTCATTCTTCAGAGCCTGGGCACTTTGCCTGAATGGTGAGCTGATTCCCTAAAGTGAGTGGAAATGTCTGAGAATAAATTATTCCAGGGGGAGTGTAAAAGCTAAATGAATCTTTCCAGATTCTGCAGGTCAATCAGACAATTGGAGATGAAAACATCAAGAAGAAATCAAAGTACAGATGAAACAAGCCCAAAACACATTGGTCATTTTGTGCCTCTGGTATCTTTCCAGCTGGTCTAGTTCTAGACATGCCCATTGTCTACTCAGTTTTCCTTCCTTAATTACACTCTTTGTCCTAGAAACAGAGGAGATAGAGGTCTCAGCATTGCTACAGTGCCAAATACTCAAAATACCAAGATTTTTATTTCTTTCTCAGTGACTAAAACATACCCTTTTAGAATCCACAGCTGGCCATTTCTCAAGCTTCTAAGGCAGAAGAACAGACATCCTCATCCAAAGGGAAAGGACTAAAACATGTAGCTGAGGAATCTGCTGGCCTTAACTAAGAAAACCACCCATTTGACCCAGGCATTCTGTCCTTGAAAGTTATTGATCTACATAAAAATCCACTTCTAAAAATCCATTATATGCAATAAACCAGCAATTGAGTAACCTGGAACAATCCCTGATTCTGCCACTGGCTGAATGGTTGACTTTAGACAAGTCTGTTTCCCTTCCTGGGCCAGTTAACTCATGAGTAAAATGAAGACAAAAATGGATTATCCCAAAAGTTACATATTGATAGAGCCAATCCTCGAACCTAGTTATTCTGACTCCTAATCCATTGACCCCCCTCCCCCACCTATCCCTTGTATTTTCATGGTTCTACTAGGACTTTTTATTTTATTTATTTTTAAATTATTATTATTATTATTATTTTGCTTGTTTACTCACAGGTACCTACACAAAGCAAGAAGCACTGTTGTAGATCTAATTTATTTTCAGTGCTGGGGTTCAAACCCAGGGCTTCATACATAGCAGGCAGACACTATCACTAAACCACATCCCCAGCCCCCTACTAGGAATTTTTTAACTGGGGCATTCAAAACTAAAAGTATGCTTAAGGAATAAACTACTGTCACATGCAACAAAGTGTATAAATAAAGATAAGACACAAGTGAGTATATGTTGTACAAGATTGTTTTAATAGACATGGTAATATAAATGAGATTAATGGTTGCTTCTAGGGGAGAATGACTGAAAGAATATGAGGGAACTTTCTGGGGTAATTGACAGAAGGGTGGATTTCATGGGTAAATGCATTTTCAAAACCGATCAGTTTCAAAACTGATCAAATACACAATTAAGATCTGTGTTTCATTATGTGTAAATTAGATCTCAAAGAATCTCTTAGAATATATATACTGAAGTTGTTTAGAAGGGAAGAAATATCACATTTACCAAGCACAAGCCTGTTACAGATCTCTATCACAAACTCTAAAAAGGGATTACCCATTTTATAGGTCAGAAAACTGAGGTTCAGTGATGTTAATTCACCAGAAAAAAAAAATTCACAAAAGACCTTAAAACTAATAAGTGTAGAAACCCAGGCACAACCCAAGTTTGTCTGCCTCATATAATAGATTGTCTCAAGGAGGGAGGGAAAGGTATTTTCAGCTTGGAACCAGGAGACTTGTGTTCCAATTGATTTCACAGCCATGTGATCCTAAGAAAGTCCAAATCCCCCCGGGCCTCACTCAAATGAAGCTTGTAATTGTTTTATAACCCTGAGGTTATAGCAATCAGACTATCTCCTGTCCTTTACCAGGATGGAGCATTAAGAGCAATTTCCATTTCTTAGAGTAGAGTCATTATGAGCAACAAAAGCCCTTTGACTCCAGTGAGAGGATAAATCATCAACTAGGTTAGTGACACCAGAGCTTGAGTGACAGAATCCAGCTGCCTCCTATTTAAAATAAACCTAACTTATTCTGCAACAAATGTGATGGGAAGGAATGGAGTGGGACATTAGATCTGAATCCTGCTGTTACTCTGCCATGGAGATGGCCTATGACCTCGGACAAAGCACTGCTTTTTCTGGGCCTCTAACCTGCATTTGCTCCAGTATCTTATCCATTTTATGAAACTCTGAGTCCTGTTTCTACATATTATAACAAGGAAAATTAGGCAGCTGGAATCTAATGTGTTTCTCAGATTCCTAAACGGAACCCATGTGGCATTGCCTATGTGCTATGGGGAAATATGTATGTATGTATATATTTTCTCTTCATATCACTATATATATCCCCCAGCTTCACACTCATCCATTAGTTGCTGCTCTTTTATCTTCTGTAATTGAGATTTAGCAATAGGGAATAATTTTATAAATTTATTTTTTGCTTATTTACTCAAACACCTACACAAAGCAGGAAGTTTTTTTAAATGTGTTTGTGGTGATAGGGTTTGAACCCAGGGCTTTATGCATATCAGGGAGACACTCTACCACTGAACCACACCCTTAGCCCAGAAATAGGGAATTCTAAAATCAAAGTATCAGTCTTCACTGGAAAATTCTGTCCACACTCCAATTGGGGTTCAATTGGAAGTCCTGGGACTTCCATTTGAATTCAGAGAAGCATTTTAATATAATGGCATCTGCTCTTTTGACAGCCTTCCCTTAGTGTTCACCTTGGGAAGAAATCTGAGTTTCCTCTTATTGCCTGTGGAGACCAAGCAAAAAACCCAAAATAATTTCAGGACTGAAGCTATGAGTTTCAGAAATGTACATGCAATGTTGAGAATGTGTTAAGCTTCTACAGACATCTGGTTAGGGATACCCCAGAGAAGGCTAGAAATAGAGGGTAAAGAGGTTTGGCTTCTTACTAGCTGTTTGACCCTCGGAAGTCATTTCAACTATTCAAACTTTAACTTCTCAACTGTAAAACTGGGATAATACCAACAACCTCAAAGGATACTTTGTACAAAGTATGCAGCAAAAAAGGAGAATGAATGAGACAGAGACACAAGGATCCATGTTTGTTATGGTTTAGGTATGAGGTTTCCCTCAAAAGCTCATGTAAGACAATGTAAGGAGGTCTAAAGATGAAATGACTGGGTTATAAGAGTCTCAGCTCAATCAGTGCGCTAATCCCTCATAGGTATTAACTGAGAGGTGACTGTAGGCAGATAGGGTGTGGCTGGAGGAGGTGGCTCATTGGGGGCATGCCTTTGAGGTATATATTTTATCCCTGGTGAGTAGAGTCTTCTCCGTCTCTGTATACTACAGTCATGTCTCTAGCTGTTTTCCTCTGCTATACTGTTCTGCCATGATATTCTGCCTCACCTTGAGCTCCAAGGCATGGAGCCAGCTTTCTATGGACTGAGACCTCTGAAACCATAACTTTTCTTCTCTAATGTTTGTCAGGTCTTTTTGGTCACAGCAGCCAAAAGGCTGACTAAAACACACTCACATATACTTATACACAGGCATATTCATACACGCCCTGAAAGACTGGTAAGAAGATTAAATGCTAAGGCACAAGGTCCAACTCAATAAACGATAGCTATTCTGCATCAAAGTATAAATGCACAAATGCTCAGAAGAAACAGAACATTACAGATCACCTAGACTACTAGTTCTCAAAAGAGGTTTCCTGGAGCAGCAGCAACATCATCACCTGGGGACTCATATGAGATGCAGATTCTAGACTCTCACTCCATACCTATAAAATCAAGCAATCTGTGCTTTAGAAACCCCCTCCCAGAGGTCCTGATGTATGCTAAAGTTTGAGAATCAATCATTTAGACAAGGGTTTGACAAACTGTTTCTACAAAGGACCAGAAAGTGTTTTAGCTTTATGGACTCCATTCCAACTACTCTGTCATTGTAGCAGCCATAGATAATATTAAGTGAATGAGCATGGCCCTCCTCCAAAAGACCAAAAGATAGAATGGGAATTTGAAACTAGGTAAGAGATTGTGTTTGTACAACATGGTGAATGTACTAAATGCCTCTGTAAAATGGCTAATTCTGTGGTATGTGAAGTTTACCTCAATAAATTATTTTATAAAACACAAGGAGTGCCAGGCACGGTGGTGCATGCCCATAATCCCAGTGTCTCCAGAAGCTGAGTCAGGAGTATCGTGAATTGGAAGCCAGCCTCAGCAATGGCGAGGTACTTAGCAACTCAGTGAGACCCTGTCTCTAAATGAAATACAAAATAGGGCTGGGGATGTGGCTCAGTGAGTGTCCCCAAGTTCAATCCCTGGTACCAAAAAAAAAAAAAGGATTGAGTAGGATTTGGTTCACGGACAGTAGATTGCTGACCCTTGATCGAGATCAACTTCCAATGCTTTGCATAATCTCATTCCAGGCACACTTATCAGTTATGTAACCTTTACCTGAATACTTATGTCAAGTCACTCACTAACCCACAAAGCAATTTATTTTGTGTATGAACAGACCTCAGTTCCATATGGAGAATTTTTCCATATACAAATCCAAAATCTCCCTTCCCATGACTTGTACCCATAGAGTATGCCCTAAAAAAATGTAATGATTTAGATACGGTTTAAATGTGTCTCCCAAGGGTTCATGCACTGGAATCGCGGTCTTTAGTGTGTGATTTTGAGAGGTGATGGGCCCTTGAAGAGGTGATGCCTAGTAGAAGGTGCTTAGGTCACTGAGGGCTTTGCCCTGGGAAGGGATTAATATAGTTCTCTTAGGACCCTTTGAAAGTGGGTTGTTATAAAAAGCACAAGACTAGCCCCTCTCCAATTGCCTGTCTTGCCATGTGGTTTCTCCCTTTCTTATGTGCTCTTGAATGATGTCTTTTGCCATGTTGTGACAAAGCAAAGGGGGCTCTCACCAGAGCTGAGCTTATGCTGGTGCCATGCTCTTGAACCTTCAGAACTGTGAGCTAAATAAACCTATTTTTAAAAAAATCCCTGCTTCAGGTATTTTATTATAGCAATAGAAAACAGACTAATACAGAGAATATCCTCATGCTATCATCCCTACTTCACTACCGGACTACATGATAGATTGCTTTAAAGGATGCGTTCACTCTAACTAAGGACATATAGAAGGGATACATGCATCTATGCTAAAGCATCATCAGGCAAAGAGAAAATAGAATCTCTTAGTTAAAAATATGCCACAGGATAGCAGGTTGACATTTCTCCTCTCACCCTCACCCCTCACATACATACACCAGCAACAGCAGTAGCATGTTTTTATTAGAGGATTCCCTGTGTTATCACAAAGATATGTGGTAACAGCTAGCAAGTGCAGCCATGCTACAGAGGAGAGAACTCTTCCATGTGAGAATGGGTACTTATGAAATCTAAGGATCTGGGTCTCCTGCTTAACCCTGACCATCTGGAAAATCTTCTCTTTGGCACTCAATATCACCAGTGCTGGGGCATGAAACAGTTGCAATAACTAGTTCAACTTGGCCAACAGTTCTTCCAGTTCTGGCCGAGCTTTGAACCTTCCCTTGAAGTCTTCTTCAGTGTGCTATGGAGTAGAAAAGAAAATAGGTAGTAAGTACTATGGAGTTTTTAGTTATTTTTACATGCGCAACATCTAAAAAAGAGTCATCAGCTAACTCTGCACAGAATGATTCAGATTTAGCCAACTATTATTGACTTGTATTAGGTACCAGGGATTCAAATTTGAATCAAACTTACTCTTTGCCTTCAATGTACTTAGAGTCTGTTGCAAGAAGACATAATAAAAGGAACTAATATTATAGATACTACAAACATAACAACAGAAGTGTGTGTGTATATATGTGTGTGTGTGTATGTGTGTGTTTGTGTTGCTGGGAATTGAACCCAGGGCCTCATACATTCTAGGCAAGCACTCAACTACTAAGCTACACCCCCAGCCTAGAAGCATTTTTTTTTAATGTAAAAATTATCCTTTAATAATAGGAAATATTAGCTGGGCACAGGGGGTGGGACACACCTATAATCCCAGCTACTTGGAAGGCCAAGGCAGGAAGATCACAAGTTCAAGGGCAGTCTCAGCAACTTTAGCAAGACCCTATCTCAAAATTTAAAAATAAATACATAAAAAGCACTGGAGATGCAGCTCAGTAGTAAAGTTCCAATGAATTCAATCCCTAGTACTGCAAAAATAAATAAATAAATAGATAAATAAAAATTACAATAACACAGGATTGGAATGTTTTAAGTTAGCATGACCAGCACATTCTCTCTGTGTACTAWGTGCAACCTAAATAACAACCAGAAGCTTAACAAGTATAAGACAAGAAGAGCTGGATGAAGCAATGCCACCAGTCTAACATGACCTGATGTGTCTGTATCATTAGAAGAAACATAATGGTGACTGGACTTGAATATCTAGTTTTCAGGTTAAGGTTCATGATGTTTTGCTGCAAGTTTTCCATGCCCAGTCAAACCTCCTTCTGACTGGCATTCTTTACTAAATATATTCAATCAAGCTACAGTCAAGCCTTGAAGGTCAAGGATACTTCTCTCTAAAGTACATTTTCCTATTTGTCTTCTGATTTATTATACTATACATAATCTCAATTTTTGGTGGTGGTGGTACTGAGAATTCAACCGAGGGCCTCAGGCTTAGAAGGTAAATGCTTACCACTGAGCTACAATCCCCAGACCTTATTATTATTTTTATTTTTGAGGCAGGGTCTTGCTAAGTTGCTGAGGCTGGCCTCAAACTTGTGATCCTCTCGCCTTAGCCTCCCAAGTAGTTGGGACTATAGTCATATGCCACTATGCCCTGCTGTATATAATCTTAAACTATGTTCTTTCCACTATACAACTGCCTGAAAAGAGTTAATTTTGAAGTGTAATGGGTTCCCCAGTAACATCAGGATGATGTGATAGAGATCAGTTCCTATGGTCCATAAAGATCATCCCTGATGCCTCAGAAGAGCCAGAGTGATGACCACAGTTCCTTCCACCAGACTGCACTCCTTTCCTGGTTATTATCTGGGCTACATTACCCACATTATCCACATCTGTTGCTTCTAAAGCCATGAAGTTCCCCCCCCAACCCCCAACCACCTCCTTTTTTCCCACTGCTGGGGATCAAACCAGCACTTTTACATACTAGGTAAACACTCTGCAATTGAACTATATTCCCAGGCCCAGATGTTCTTATCTTTATTTTGGGCAAAAGTAGACCACCAAGGGGCCTCTTTCCAAACTAGCACCTACCTCCCTTACTGACAATCTGACTCCTTCAGGAAGATTGCTTTGGAGTATTTCCAAGAAAATCTCTGCAAATGTAGCACTCAAACCGCTGATCTGCAAAATGAAAGAAGACACTTTAAGGAAGGGTGCTAAAAGCCAGGTGATTGGGCACATATGGCCCAGGCTCAAATGCCAGCTCCAGTAGGGTAAAGATGAACACCCAGAGCTAGTTCTGAGCATGGCCCCTGTAAGATTTTTCTTCCCATTTGCCAAGGTGTTTGCTTGTTTGATTGCTGAGATGGCCAATGACAATATCTGTTCCAATAGACAATGGACATCACAGCTGGACCAAGAAGTTATCAAGTCAACACTAACTTTCTGATGCAAACCCAGGTTTACCCACACAGACTACTGACTGGTATCAGTACTTGTGCCAAGAATCTAGAGGCAAATCAGATGTGCAGTAGGAAGGACTGAAGGGTGCTGTGAGAACCCACAAGAGAAATACCTACCAACTCAGGGAAGGTTAAAGGAAGCTTCAGGGAAGGTGACATCTGGGTGAAGTCTTGGAAAAAAACAGGATTAAAACTGGGAGAATTCAATAGTAGTATGGAGAGTTGTTGAGACAAGGAAAACAACATTCTGCAAATGTGGAGACATACAGAGTCAGGGAATGAAAACCAGTTCCTTGGAGCTGAGATTGTGGCTCAGTGGTAGAGCGTTCACCTAGCATGTGCGAGGCCCTGGATTCAATTCTCAGCACCACATAAAATAAATAAATAAAATAAAGATATTGTGTCCAACTACAATTAAAAAATATAAAAAAAAGAAAAGAAAAAGAAAGAAAACCAGTTCCTTAAAGGCTAAAGCAATGAGATATGAAGAGGAAAAGCAGAAGAATCATAAAGGCACCTGAATGCTACAGAGTTCATACTTTATTCTATGAGTCTCAGTGGCAAGTAAGAGCTATCATAAGTATGCTGCAAATAACTTATTCCTGCTAATCTACAAAAGAATTCTAAATGCTTTAATTGTTTTTTTACATTAGCATATTTAGAATTAAGGTGTTGCCCCCTTAGCATTCCTTTTATTACTTTGCTGATACTGGTATGTTTCTTCAGTAGCTTAAAAAGAAAAAAAAAAAAGGGAGATGCCATAGAATGGAATATTATTTGGCAATAAAAATGAATAAAGTATTGACAAATTACAATATGTATAAACCTTTGAAACACTATGCCAAATGAAAGAAGTCAGACACAAAAGGCTGTATATTGTACAATTCTATTTAAATGAAATGCCCAGAAGAGGTAAATCTATAAAGACAGAAAATAGATTCGTGGTTGCAAGGGGCTGGAGGGACCAGGAAAGAGGAGTGACTGCTAATGGATACAGAACTTCTTTTTGGGGTGATTAAAATGTTCTAAAATTGATTTAGTGATGGATGTGTAATTCTTTGAATACACTAAGAGCAATTTAATTGTATACTTTAAATGAGTAAATTATAATGATATGTCAATTTTATCTCAATAAAGTTGCTATAAAAAGGGAGAGTGATGTTAGAGCTGGTAAGCTGTGAATTTTTAATAATTCTGGGTACCCTCATGGTGGTGTGGGCTGTCACACATCTGTCTCTGCAGGAAAAAACAAACAAACAAACAGGATAATTGCTAGAGTTAAAAGGAAGCCACTACAAGAGGTTTTAAACAGGAAAATGACATGATCACATTAGTATGAGGATAAAATAAATGGTTGGATCGGAAAGTTTTAGGAGGTAAAAGCTAAGAAATTTGTTGAATGAATGGATATCAGAGGACAATGAAGGGTCAAGCATCAGGCTCAAAGGTGGAGAATATTGTAGAAAAAGAAAATCTGTCTTTCTACAATTACTTTTGCATACACTGGGACAGAGAGAGTACTGTGGAACATCTAAGTGGAGAAGTCTGGTAGACAATTGGGTATCAGGTATAAAGCTCAGCCAACAGACCACATGCAGACATATACATATATATCTGAAGGTTATCAGTGCATTATGATGATTGCTGAGGCCAGGGCAATGAGACTACATAAAAGGAAAGATGGAGGGATCAAAAACTGAACTCTGGTCTACATCATTATTCAAGGGCAGGTAAGAGTAAGAAAAGGACACAATAAAAGAGAAAAAATGAAAAGAGAATAGAACCAGAGAGGTAAATACATTCAGGTCCTCCTAGATTGCCTACCTGAACCACTCGCTCATGGACAGTAAGGACTGAGTCCAGGAACATTTTGCTGCTTTGGTCTTGCACCTGCAATATCTCCATGGTTTTAGTGGGCATYGCATAACTGTGGGAAGAAGAGTCACTGTTGGGAACATTCATTTATACCAGCAGCACTAATTCAATCAGGGTTGTCTATGCATACAGCCACCTCTAYATGGAGTAGTTTATAGAATCTAGGGGATGCTTATCTGCACCCAGAAGCAAAGTAACCAGATATCCTTTACCTCTTCCAGAAGTCCCTAAAGTTTCTTTTCTAAGGAACTACACTAATACCTTTCTGCATCCCCAAGTATATTTTAATATAACATTATAATGCTATGGATGAATCCTGGTGATAAATAAGCATTCACTGCCACACACTTATAGCTAATTCTAAAAGAATGAAATCTATCACTAGGTATGCTTTGGAGACTAACCTTGGGTATTTCACTTATCCTGGAGAAAGAAATAAGGCATGAAACCCAATTGTTCTAGAACAGGATTTTTCAACCTGAGCAATACTGATATTCTGGACAGGATAATTCTGTGTTGTGTACCCCCACTCTTCTGACTGGATGTCATTAGTGAACCCCAAATAATGACAAAATTATCTCCAGACATTATCTAAATAACCCAGGTACAGAACCACTGTTTTACATTTGATATAATCAGCTTCAGCAGACCTACATGCTGCAGTGAAAAGAACACTGGACTTGCAGTCAAGTGTTGGCCTTGCCATTTATAAGCAATACTTACTTAGGTAAGTCATTCTCCAGATTCTTCAGGTATAAATGCAATTACAACCTGGGCTATATCAATACACAATTGTGAGGAATGGGTGTGGTGATGCAAATAGGACTGACAGAACAGGTTATGCAATAATATTATATTAGTGGTGTTTTCATCTGATCAAAAAAAGTTGATCAAATCAATGACAAATAAAATAATAATAATGATAGTAGGAATCCTGGTTTTTCATGCCTCACAAAGTTTCATCACTTAACAGCAAGGGGCATGGCCCTCTGTAGATAGACCTACAATTATTTAATAAGATTACATAAGTAATTTGCTTGACATACCACATCCATATTCTTTGCCTACATAAACAGTCAGCAAGTGCTGGGTATTGCAACCCCTATCAAGTAGCTTCTCTAAATAACATCCCCTCCCACTTTTCAAAACAATTCTGATCTCCTCTTCACGTGATTCAAATATAGTAATTACTCCTGATATGAAAAAATGGGGATACAATCATAGACTACTTATGCTTATAGAAGACCAATAAAATAATTATGTGGAAGCTTTCAGACAGTTTTTTTTTTAAGTATTCTAAAATGCTATTTTTCCTTTATGGCATTCTGCAGATAGGGCAGACTCAGGGCTACAGGTGTAGCTCAGTGACAGAGGGTATGCCTAGCATAGGAGAGGTCCAGGTTTGATCCCCAGCACACACACACAAAAAAAAAAAAAAAAAAAATTTAAAAATCAGATTGACTAAAGCAGGTGTTATCTATTCTTGTCATTAATCATGGGTTTCATTCTTCAATACTTAACGTAAGATTTCCTTGATTTTTTTTATTTATTTGATTCAATAAACGTTTACTAAGTCTGTTCTATCCTAGACACTCTGGGGGCAAATGCAATCCATGTTTTCAAGGAGCTCACTGAGCATTTCAGAGAGACAGATAAGCACATACATTGGCACTGAAGAAAGACAGAGGCTGTCACAGTATGTGAWCAGTGTAGGGACAAGAGGCGGAGAAGTGGGGCTTGTGGAAGGCTTTATCAAGGTGTAAGGAAGGAGCACAGGTGCTTCTGGAGGGCATTCCAAGAAGGTACTGGCAGTATCTACAAAGGCAAAGGACAGGAGAGGCCCTCAAAGAGAGTCAACAGAAAACCAGACATACTTTGATAAAGAAATACTGGGAACTCTGGACATTTCAAAGTAGAACAGACTGTAAGTAAACAGAGTACAGGTAATTTTTCTTCAGGATCTATATATTTCCATACTCTCCACTTTTTCTGCAATAAACTTATTTGGATGATCAGAGAGTAAAAACAGAAGGGAAGAAATGAAATAACAGAATTTTAAGAGTCAACCCAACATGACAAAACCATGCTACCTTTGGGAAATATCACCTGAGAGGGACTCAAGGAACCTACTGGACTGCTGGGGACTCAAAATCTGTGCATTTTATATATAAATCATACTTACATAACAATTTTGAAAAACATAAGTGGATTTAAAAAAAATAAAAGAGGAAARAGTAGTGTCACAATGAGTGATGCTGAGGGATGCTTCATTCGCCACGGGGCACTGGGCTGGTCAGCTTCAGGCATGGAAGCTGCTCCGAAGTGAGAGAGATTTCCATTTCTCCAGGCTGCCCCCGGGAAGGGATGCAGGCCAATTAAGGGGCCCATAGGAGAGGCTCTTCCTCTCGCCTCCATGAGTTGCAGCTGTCACAGGAAGACCATGGATAGAACAAAATCCAGCACACTGCTCACTCACTCTTTAGCCCCATCCCAACTCAAGGTCATAGTTATCATCCCCACCACCACCACTCTCAGCTCCAGAGGAAAAAATGGACCCAAATGAAATGAAAATCAGAAGAAAACAGTCTCATCTCTGAAAACCTGGGCAGTGAGAATGACTAACAATACAATAGGCTGAAAACCTCAATCAATCAGAGGAGTTGTTAAGAACAAACAGTTCTTTATGTTCCAAGCCATTTGGGGCAAAGACAGGAAAGAGGCAAAAAGAGGCGTATCAGTCATTCTACTGTTCTAGGAAATGTCTATGCCAGCTAGAACTCAATCCAAATCAGTAAGTATTTATTCAGTGCTTAAGTGTGTCAGGTACTAGACTAGTTCTTAGGGTTAGGCCAGTAATAAAGATAGAAGCAGTCTTTGCCTTACAGAGCTCAGAGTCTAATAGGAAAGACCAATCATAGTCAAACAATTACAAGGTTAGAGAATGCATGTTATGAAAGGGTAGTTATATACCCTTTATTTCTCCTAAATATATAACAGTGAAGACCTAACTTAATGAGCTTCCCTGAAGAAATACTATTCAAGATGATGCCTAGGAAAAATGTAGAGATGAAGGGTTATAAAACATATTCAAAGGCCCTAAAGTAGAAATCAACAAAAATCAAGACAGTAACTGGAGGCAGAGAGAAAGGGGAAGAGAAAAGTAAGGTAAGGTAAGGGGGCAAACCCAGGCCATGGAGCACTAGCAAGCCAGGGGAGGAACATTTATTTTGATACTAAAGGAGTGGGAAGCCATGAAGTGGGAAGGGAGTGGGAAGCATTTTAAGTAGGAGAGACATTATCACATTTCCATTCTAGAAAGATTACCCCAAATGCTTTGTGGAAAATTTGTTAGAAGAATTGAGTACTATGGGGAGAATGGGGAAGTGGGTTCAAATCCAGACTTTACCACTAATTAGGTATAGGGGGACAATGGACAAGCTTTAATAATAATAATATTAGTAGTCAAGAGTTGCTGGGCAGGGGCTGGGGATGTGGCTCAAGCGGTAGCGCGCTCGCCTGGCATGCGTGCCGCCCGAGTTCAATCCTCAGCACCACATACAAAGATGTTGTGTCCGCCGAGAACTAAAAAATAAATATTAAAAAATTCTCTCTCTTTCTCAAAATACAAAAAAGGATGGGGATGTGGCTCAGTGGTTGAGTGTCCCTGAGTTCAATCCCCGGTACACCCCCCCCC